AAGAAGAGATCGTAAATCCTCAAAGAAATGGAGAGGTTATTGTTGGTGTGGATTACCCAAAAACAGTTAGCAGGAGATAGTGTTATGCAGTCGATAATTTGTAAAATGGCAAGGCAGTTACATGACGATCTCATAAAGAAAATGCCTGCAATGAGTGCTGATGTTTGTGATTTTAAGGAACCTGTCCAGTGACTCTGAGTATATATATGATAAAAAAATAGTATTAAACAACATTTTTTTATTGTTGGTTTGTGTAAACATGTTTTGTAAATAATATAATGACAGCAAAGTTTGTGCTGTTATTGTGTAGTATACAATGAGTGAATATATACCAAATAGCCTTTATATTGATCTCAGAGGCCATACAAGTTACTTGAAAAAATAAAATAAAAAAAAAAAAAAAAAAAAAAAGAATAAAACTACTACTGGGTGACCGGCAATCGGCGATGTTGCCGTATGTGGTTCAATTTCTGTCATCTTCACGCCTCCATATCTCGGTAAGTATTGATGGCAAAAAAAAAATTTTTTTTTTTTGCCATCATAAGAAATTTTTTTTTTCGATTTTTTACCGACCCTGAGAGCAGGTTTGGGAGAAGGCCTGCCGACCCTGAAAGGGTTAACAGTTCCTCAAAATATTCCCTCCATCTTCCCGATACCTCTAACTCTCCATTTAATAATTCTCCTCTCTTATTTTTAACTGTCAAATCAATTTGTTCCCTAGGCTTCCTCAACTTATTTATCTCACTCCAAAAATTATTATTATTATTAACCTCGAGTCCAAGCAGAGGATGTAACACTTCATTCTTTCTTTCTTCGTTCTTTTTTTCCTTCTTTCCTTCTGGTTTCTATAATATATATACACATATATAGTCACAGCACACTTTCACAGAACTGCTATTAGGCTCTGGAAAAGTGTGTGTGTGTGTGTGTGTGTGTGTGTGTGTGTGTGTGTGTGTGTGTGTGTGTGTGTGTGTGTGTGTGTGTGTGTGTGTGTGTTTGTGTGTTAGTTACCATTTGGTCCTAGGCACATGTTGATTAGACACTTGGCCTGTTGTATGTGCATGCATGTGTGTGTGCGTGTGTGTGCATGTGTGTGTGCATGTGTGTGCATGTGTGTGCATGTGTGTGCATGTGTGTGTGCATATGTGTGTGTGCGTGTGTGCATGTGTGTGCATGTGTGTGTGCATGTGTGTGTGCATGTGTGTGTGTGTGCATGTGTGTGTGTGTGCATGTGTGTGTGTGTGCATGTGTGTGTGTGTGCATGTGTGTGTGTGCATGTGCATGCATGTGTGTGTGTATACTCACCTAATTGTGGTTGAAGGGGTCGAGACTCAGCTCCTGGCCCTGCCTTTTCACTGAGTGCTACTAGGTCCTCTCTCTCCCTGCTCCATGAGCTTTATCTTACCTCATCTTAAAGCTATGTATGGTTCCTGCCTCCACTACCTAACTTGCTAGGCTATTCCACTTCCTGACTACTCTATGACTGAAGAAATACTTCCTAACATCCCTCTGACTCATCTGGGTCTTCAACTTCCAACTGTGACCCCTTATTTCTGTCTCTCCTCTCTGGAACATCCTGTCTCCGTCCACCTTGTCTATTCCACGCAGTAATTTTTTATGTTATCATGTCTCCCCCGACCCTCCTGTCCCCCAGTGTCATCAGGCCAATTTCTCGAAAACCTTTCTTTGTAGGACATTTCCTTACTTGGAATAACTTTGTTAAAAAAACCTTTTGCACTCCTCTAATTGGTTTTGTGTGTGAACCACCTATTGAGGTTTTTGCAGTGGTCGGCCTAGGTGTGTCGTGCGTGTGGCGGGTGGACTCCCCTTTGAGGTTGCGGGGGGTCGAGCCCGAGCTTGGCCCCGCCTTTCACTGACGCTACAGGTCATCTCCAAGGCGGGTTTTTATCATCCCTCGCTTAAAGCTATATATGGATCCTACCTCCACTACATCATTCCCAAACTATTCCACTTACTGATACTCTGTGGCGAAGAAATACTCCTAAACCCTGTGATTCATCGGTGCTTAAACCCCAATTTTCCCAATCTCGGAACATCCTGTCTTTTCCCCCTTTCAATTTCCTCTCAGATTTTGTATGTGTTATCATTCCCCCTATCTTCCTGTTCCAGGCGCGGGTTTTTTTCCCCTTTTACCTCTCCTCGGGGACATACCTCTAGCTCGGGGGACTAGCTTTTTGAAAACCTTTTGCACTTTCTCTGTTTTTTTACGTGCGGGCTAGTGGGGCCCAAACTGGTGCCGCATATCCAATAGGGGCCTAACGTCCCGGTGTCGGGCCTGAATGATTCCTTATTAAGATGGGGAATGTGTTCTGGGTTTTGCTAGGCCCCCCATAGCTGCAGCAGTTATTTGGTTGATGTGCGCTTCGGGAGTGTCCTGGTTTTATACTACCCAAGATCTTTTTTCTTGAGTGGGGTTTTGTAGTCTCTGGCCCCTAGACTGTATCTGTCTGCAGTCTTCTTCCCCCCCAAAATCTTCAGGACTTTGACTTGGGGGGATTGAATCCAGGAGTAAATTTGCTGGACCAGGGCTGCAGCCGTCCAGACCTTTGTAGTTTGCCTGGGGCTTCGTCAGTGAATTTTCTCAACTTCAGTCATCTGCAAACGGGAAAATCAGAGTCTTTCCTTCCGCATGTCGTTCACAATACCGAAACACACTGGGCCAGGATGACCCCTGTGGGACCCCCCCCCTGGCACAGGTGCCCTCGACACCTCGCCACGTACCCTGATCGCGCTGTTTCCTGAAAAAGTATTCCTGATCCATTTTAGTGCCTTCCCCGTTTCCCGCTTGGTCCTCCAGTTTTTTTCACCAATCTCTTTGTGGGAAATGGTCAAACGCCTCTTGCAGTCCAAAAAAATGCAAAACCACCCACCCCTCTGTGTGGTGTTGTGGGTTTTTGTGTGTGTGGTGTGTGGTGTGTGTTGTGTGTGTGTGTGTGTGTGTGTGTGTTGTGTGTGGATGTGTGTGCATGTGTGTGCATGTGATGTGGGCGTGAGTGCATGTTTTGGGGGGAGGGGTGCATGTGTGGTGCGTGTGTGTGATGTGTGTGTGCTTGGTGTGCATGTGGTGTGCATGTGTGTGTGCTGTGTGTGCATGGGTGAGTGTGTGTCAGTGTGTGTGGGTGGGTGGCATGTGTGGGGCATGTGTGGCATGTGGTGCATTTTGTTGATGTGTGTGTGCATGTGTGTGTGCATGTGTGTGCATGTGTGTGGTGCATGTGTGTGTGATGGTGTGTGGGCATGTCATGCGTGTGTGGTGTATACTCACCCTTTGTGGTTGAAGGGGGCGAGATCAGCCCTGGCCCTCCTTTTTACTGGGGTATAGGTCCCCTCTCTCCCCGCTATGGCTTTATCTTACCTCATTTAAAGCTTTTTATGGTTCCCGCCTCCACTACTAACTTGCAGGGTATTCCCCTTCCGACTACTCATTCTGAAAAAAATACTTTTCCCAAATCCCTTTTACCATCGGGTCTTTAACTTCCAACTGGACCCCCTTTTTCTGTCTCTCCTCTCTGGGAAATCCTGTCTCCGTCCACCTTTTCTATTCAAGCAGTATTTTGTATGTTATCATGTCCCCCTGACCCCTGTCTCAGGTGTAGGCCAATTTCCCCCTAACCCTTTTTTTGTAGGGAAATTTTCTTAGTCTGGAACAAAATTTTTTTTTACAAACCTTTGCACTTTCCCCTTTAAATTTTTGTGTGGGTGGTGTGTGTGAGCTTCTAAAAGTGTAGCCCCGGGTGCAGGGGGTCAAAAGACATATTATAATCACTCACATCTTGTGCCTGTCAACTCCATGGGGTCCCCCTGCCTCCTTCCCCACTGTCCTTCTACCCACCACCCTTTTTTTTCTCTTCTTTTTCCTTTTTTTCCCTTTCCTTCTTTTTCTTTCATCTTTCTTTTTTCTCCTCTTTTTTGGTTTTTGGGGCATTTCTTTTTGGGCACAAAATCCTCAAAACATGAAATTCTTCCTTTCACTTTTATCTGGTTGACTTTTACTTGGAAAGAGGAAAAAGGCCCGATTCACTGGGGGGTCAATTTTTGCCACTGGCAGCTGAACAAAGGGCTACTGAAAAAACGTTTCCCACAAAGCACCACGGCCCCCGATTTTTTTTTATACGGCCCTGCCAGGAGATCATCTCCCCATGTGGGCCTACCAGCTTTCTCCCGCTTGTTTTAAGCTGTTAAAATTTTTCACATATTAAAAGTAAAAAATTTGGTCTAAGAGTATATTATGGCCCAAAAAAGTCAAAAAGGGTTAAAAAAAATCCCCGGGGGTTCCCCGGTATTTCTGATGTTTTCAACCTAATACTGAACCTGATGTTTCCCACAAACACCCATACCTCTATCTGACCTTGGGACCTTCCTATCCTGTTACAAAAGCACGGTCCCTATATCTTACCCCAGAATCCCTACAATTAAAAATTCTTTCCTTGATTAAGGGGATCAGTGGTCCTCTAACCCCACTAACCCCCGAAATACCTCACCCGAAGACAAGAATCGATTTCCCACCCCCAATCTTTTCTATTAACCTTCCTTTCTTCCCTTCCCGAACTGTGAACCACTTCCACTTAAAACGTGCAATCTTTGTCACTGTGGTATCTTTTTCACCAGCTCCCACGATCTCACACTCACCCCCCAACCCCTCTAGGCAAAGCTTAGCTTCCATTTTCCCCTGAAGAATGGAACCTTCTTTTTCAACCTTTAACTGGATTCCAAAAACACTCGCAGGCAGGTATCATTTAAAACCCACCCCCCAAGCCAAAAAGCTTTGGACAGTGACCACACGTCCTCTGACAGCAGTGTATCCCTTTTTTTTTTCTGCACCAAAACTAACTTAAGAACCTAAGCTAACCTTACTAAAGTTAATGCAACATAGTTTAACCTTACCCAACTTACCTTAGGTCAGGTTGAATTCTATACCAGATGTATAGAAGCAAAAGTAAACTCAGTTAAAAGTGGATTACTTCATATGAAAAACTTACATGAAATCAATATCTGCCTGGGTATCATTCTTGTGAATGCCTATTAGAACACACAGGCCTCGACCAATAGAGCTGATCACCTCCTCTCCCACTGTTGATATTAATTATACTTTAAGTATGTAAAGCACAAGTACACATCACCTGTTTTGGATAGATATGATTAGATAGAGCCACATGTGAACCAGCTGAAGAATTCTGTCCATAATATCTTATTTACTTTTAATGTAATTAACAATACTGTATTTAAATTGGTAAAAAAAAATCATGAGCTTTATAATTTAGATTGAATATACTTTTTTTTTTTTAGTGAAGGGCATCTCATGAATAGCTTTGATTTTTCACAATGACCATTTTCCTTTGTCGGCATGCACTCCTACACTGTAAACTAACTATACAATTTCTTTCAAAATGAACTTAATGGATTTCCCACAGATCTATTTTGTTCTACCTATTCTGTCTTGTGAATGCCAATATTACTTACATTAGTGATATTTACAAAGAAGGCCAAAAAACAAATGGAAGAATGAAAATAGCTATGGGATTTTTTCTGACAACTACAGTGGTCCCTCAATAATCATCCAGCCTGAAAGCCGTCCATTTCAGAAAGAGTCCCGTTATTTCGTCTAAACATTGGCTTGCAAATGGTCCGTTGACTCGCTAATCATCTTTCGTCCTGGACGCGTACTCACGCTCTGAGCCGCCTCGACCTCCCTTCCCAGCCAGTGTGCCATTGTTTACCAGTGAGCGACGGTCCCCTCACGTCTTCATACGAAGTATTTCATAATATTCCATTCATTTTAGTGCTTGCAGTTTGGAGGGATATGTTGTGTATCTTTATACGTATATGCTTCTAAACTGTTGTATTCTGAGCACCTCTGCAAAAACAGTGATAATGTGTGAGTGTGGTGAAAGTGTTGAATGATGATGAAAGTATTTTCTTTTTGGGGATTTTCTTTCTTTTTTTTGGGTCACCCTGCCTCGGTGGGAGACGGCCGACTTGTTGAAAAAAAAAAAAAAAGTGCTAAATAAGCTACCATGGCTCCAAAGAAAGCTCCTAGTGCCAAGCCCTTGGTAAAGAAGGTGAGAAATACGATTGAATTTAAGAAAAACATCATTGAACAATATGAAAGTGGCGTGCATATGGGCGAACTGGCCAGGATGTATAACAAATCCCGTACAACCATATCTTCCACCATAGCCAAGAAAAAGGAAATCAAGGAAGCTGTTGTTGCAAAGGGGGTAAATATGCTGACAAAAATGAGATCACCAGTACAGTAGGGCCCCACTTATACGGCGGGTTAGGTTCCAGGCTGTCGCCGGAAAGCAGACATTGCCGGAAGGCAGAACGCCATTTTTTTCCATTTATAAATGCATATAAATGCCAGACAACAAGTTTACACTAAATTATATTAAGTTAGTAATAGAACTAGGCATTAAAAACACACAAAGTAAAATACATTCACAGTAAATTCATTACTTATCTTAAAGTATTTGTAATCTTAATGTAGGGAGAGAGGTGAGTAGTACTTATTTGTAGGAAGTCAGGCGCAGGTAGCCCAGGTGTAGGTAGCCCTGGCTCCCCATCTCATACTTAATATACGTTTATTTAAAACACCCCAGAGAAGTAAATACACATACAGTACATTCATTATTTACCTTAAAATATGTGTAGTCTTAATATAGGAAGAGAGGTGAGTATTATTTATTTGTAGGGAGTCAGTGTAGGTAGCCGGTAGGTGTAGCCTGCTGGCTACACCCACCGGCTACCTACACTGTGGGCCAGAGCCATATTATTAACATCGATGTACCTTGTTCACTGAATTTAATCATTTCTAACAACTACCTTTAGATGCCATCATAAACGAAGGTAGAAGTAATGAATAATTCATGCCGAAAATTGTAAACAAAAGCGGAGTGAGGGAGTGGCTGGGCCAAATGCAGATTCATACACGTTTCCTCTGATGGCTGAGCAGAGAAAACATAATGTTGTCCTTCCACCCGGCTACCACACAGATCCACAAGTATTATCAGAGCACATAAAATATGCAATAGATGCCAGACAACAAGTTTACACTAATTTACATAAAGTTAGCAATAAAAAATAGGCATTAAAAACACAATAAAAGGTAAGATACACACAGAGTACACTTATTACTTACCTTAAAATATTAATATTAATGTGTGAGAGGTGAGTGGCAGGGTGTTTATTGAATAAAATCAGAATGGCACACCATCATCCTCTAACTTGGCACTTAAAGCAAGAGGCTTACGACTTCTCTTTTTACCACAGCTAACCTTAGACGCCATCGTCAATGAGAGCCAACTAGTTAACGAAAGAGTAAACGAGAGAGAGAACGAGATACAGAGTTGAGACAATGTAAGAACACAAACTGAACAGGTAGTGGACGATCACTTGGTCAGGCGAAATAAATGTGCATTAATGTGTGTCTACTTTTAGTTCATTCACGTCCATTTGTAAGAGTTTGTAAAACATTTACCTCAATATTTTTTATTATAATAATAATTACCTCACAATACAAATACTCTTACATTGTGTACAAGTTGTACAAGTTAGTTCAGAATAAACAAACAGCAACACACCATTTTTAGAATGAATGAAGGCAATAATAATAGTAATAATAATAATATTAAATAATAATATTATTATTAATAATAAATTATTATTAATTATAAAAAGCACTAAACCCACAAGGGTCATGAATTGCTATATATAGAGTAAAGGCATACGAAAAGAATATTTTTCTACAGTTATCCCCCAGTTTGACTAGAGAAAACGTAATTCTTCCGACATTACCTACACAGCTGCTCTGTAAACAAATCTCATTACATAGCATATAAACATGATACATACACTCGCAGAATAAAAATTGATGTAAATATGAGATTTGTTTACAAAGCAGCTGTGTAGGTAGTGTCGGAAGAATTACATTTTCTCTAGTCAAACTGGGGGATAACTGTAGAAAAATATTCTTTTCGTATGCCTTTACTCTATACAGGTCTCCCTCAACATTCACGTTTTCAACTTTCATGGGCTTCACACATTCGCGAATTCCCAACCGCCAAATTCCCAGCCACCAAATTCCCAGCCGCCAAATCATATTTAAGTTTCCCGCCACCTGCGAGTCCCTTAAATACCCCCCCTCCGACCCCCACAACTGGCAGCCAGCCCTCCCACCACTCAGTGTGGTGAGTGTTTTGTTTGTTCATTATTTGCTATTAAACTACAGTATAAATAATGTAAACCCATTCATGACTGCATATTGGAATGGCTATGCAGACAGGTATTAGATGGTGACATCAAGTGTTTACTCTTGAACACGGGCAAAGAATTAAACATTTCTGCTACAGCAAAATAATAACAATAGTAATAATAATTAATAATAATAATAAAAATTTAATAAAAAATAATTAATAATAATAATAATAAATATAATATAATTGAAGAGGGAAAATTTGGTACAAAAATACGGGGGAGTGGTTGACACATCGTCATGTGACTTTGTTTATGCTGGATGAGCATTATCTCCCTGCTCTTCCAAACATTTCACAATAATTCATTGTTTTTGGGTGCTTGTAGATTGAGTGTGACTGAGTGGTAAGGCAGTGATTGAGGCAATGGTAATTTAATAACATAACATGTTAAAAATTTAATTTAACATGTTATTAATAATATGTACTATTATTATTTATAACATATATGTTATTAATACATTCATGTTAATAATAATACACGTTATTAATAATAACATGTACTATTATTATTTATAACATATATGTTATTAAATACCACTGCCTCAACTGCTGAAATATTGTGAAATGTTTGGAAGAGCAGGGAGACTAATGTTCACTCCAGCATAAACAAAGTCACACTGACGATGTGTCAACCACTCCCTCGTACAGTGGACCCCCGCATAAAGATTACCTCCGAATGCGACCAATTATGTAAGTGCGTTTGTACGTGTATGTTTGGGGGTCTGAAATGGACTAATCTACTTCACAATATTCCTTATGGGAACAAATTCGGTCAGTACTGGCACCTGAACATACTTCTGGAGTGAAAAAATATCGTTAACCGGGGGTCCACTGTATTTTTGTACAATTTCCTTCTTCAATATCGTATTTATTATTATTATTATTATTATTATTATTATTTTTATTATTATTATTACTATTGTTATTATTAGCAATAGCAGAAATGTTCGATTCTTTACTGTGTTCAAGAGTAAACACATGATGTCACCGTCTAATACCTTTCCTAATAGCCATTCCAATATGCAGTCATGAATGGGTTTACATTATTTATACTGTAGTTTAATAGCAAATAATGAACAAACAAAACACTCGCCACACAGTGGTGGGAGGGCTGGCTGCCAGTTGTGGGGGGTCGGAGGGAGGGTAGTAGGGACTCGCAGTGGTGGAGGCAGTGGTGGAGTCTGTGGTATTTAATAACATACATGTTATTAACATACATTATTAACATACATGTTATTAAATAACATACGTTATTAAAGCATAACATGTATATATTTAGTACAATTTATGACGTTTTCATGTATTTTATGATTATTCATGGTTCAACAAGTTAAGGAAGCAGTATTGTAATATATTTCTCTACAATATATTGGGGCACCAGACATTCACGGTTTTTCAACATTCGCGAGGCTCTTGATCCCCTAACCCTCACGAATGTTGAGGGAGACCTGTATATAGCAATTCACAACCCTTGTGGGTTTAGTGCTTTTGATAATAAATAATAATAATAATTTATTATTAATATTATTAATAATAATAATAATATTAAATAATATTATAATTATTAATATTAATAATAAATTATTATTAGTATTATTATTATTTATTATAAAAAGCACTAAACCCACAAGGGTCGTGAATTGCTATATATAGAGTAAAGGCATACGAAAAGAATATTTTTCTACAGTTATCCCCCAGTTTGACTAGAGAAAACGTAATTCTTCCGACACTACCTACACAGCTGCTTTGTAAACAAATCTCATATTTACATCAATTTTTATTCTGCGAGTGTATGTATCATGTTTATATGCTATGTAA